CAACATTACTACTGATAGTATAATAAATGTAAAAATCCTGTGATCTCATATACTGTTTCCTGTAGCTATTGGTACAAAATCAGATGTACAGAAACCATAAGTTACTATCTGTATTACGATGTTCAGAAGAAAATTTTTATATTCAGTGTGATCTTGGTTTTACACCTACTTGCAGGAGATTCACAAAGGATTGAAAATTATCACAATACTCTATTTTATAATCAGCTAGATCTTGTGGTGCTAATGTGACTTTAAAATAGCAGTTGAGTTGATTTTTTATGATATGATGGGATAAAATTGGAAAATAAAATTGAAAATTAGAAGATTTCAGTTTTGATTAGCAAATTTCCACATGTTAATGTGTATCAAACTATTTTAATATTACTAGTCAGAAGTGAGATATTTGCAACTTTGGTTAAAATGAAGTTTAAATAAGTATTTAATGTCTTAATAAAAAACTAAACATTCAAGTAAATGCCATATGAACATTAAGAGTCTGAGTGTTGAAAGCATAGTATAGATTGTAAAATTAGTATATTGCTTAGCTTTTATATGATCCAGAGCAAGTGATATGGCAGTGAACACAGAATCTGTAGAGTATTTTAAGTAAACTAAAAACAATATTTCTTTGTGACTATGTCGAGTATTTGTTTTGAATAGGCCGTGTGCAAAGGAATTTTCATGTTAACATTAAAAATACTTTTCTTCACCTCAAACATCTCAAATTTCATTTGTATAATCTCTAGAACCTCCTAAATACATTTGAAATATTTGTTTCAGTAAAACTTTATATTTTATCTGTTATTTTCTCTACCCTAATTCTATACACAGTTGGTCAATTTGACCAATCTTGTAACCACCAAAACCAAATTGAAATAAATCTAAATTACCATTTTCTTATTTCTAGAATGACTTCAAATTGTAACCTGAAGCTACATTTTATTATCCTAAATAGGTTTGAAATTGCAACAGTATACACCTGTTTATACTTAAATTATATGGTTTTATTGCCCTTTGAACTGTGTTTAACTGATATTACCACCATAAAATTTGCAAATCACTTGGTGAACATGGAGTTCACATTACGATATTGAATTACATAACTCACAAGCTACTCTCGAGTTGCTTGCAAGCATACCTCATGAAAAATTTTCATTAGTATTATTATTCTTTATTCTACCTAATCTAACCTAAAAAGTTTCTAATTTTTACCCCTTTTTTTTGCTGTCAACTGTCAGTGTCACTTAATTCTACTTTTTATTTTTTATACTAATGGTACTACTGCATTAAATAATATTTCATTTAATTAAATAATGCACCAAAGAACACAGAATAAAAAAAATGCCAATAAGCAGACAAAACCCTATAAATATTACAATTTTTTCTGGCTTTTTAACTATGCGACAAGAACTGTTAAAAATTCAGTTAAGCTCCTCAACGTGTTTCCTGTGGAAATAGTTTGAACTGGAAGCAAAATAGACAATTCTCTGTACAGAAAACATTGTAGTATAATATGTCATTTGATAGATTAAAACCTTGGCTTTCTATTGAATAGACATAATATAGCATTAAATATCAGAGAAAATTACTGGCAATTTCTTAAAAAGAAGATGTGACAGGTGAGCGTAGTAAGAGGGGTCTTATTTTCTATTTTATGGCTCTGTAACTAAATAAGATTGAAGATTATAAAAATTATGCTTTGCCTGAGTGATGGCATTATAATAAGTAATTTTTATGTTAAATTTCATACTTCTTGAAGAGATGATAAATAAATTGGAGAAGAGGAGATACCAAGTGAGAAAATGTTACAATTCTCATACTAGGGGAAATTCAGGATTTTTTAAAAATATTGCAATATAAAATTAGGAACTTAAAATTTATATATTATTAAAATTTGGATTATCAGCTACATTTTATGCCAAATTTATTCATATACCATGATAAGAAAGTAGTTTAATTAAATTTTAAATGTAACTCACTAAAACGTTGTGACATGAGCAGAAAAAGATGCCTGTAGCAAAAGTGTTAATGCACAGTCCCTAGCAAAAGTGTAGATCAGTGACCCATAATCCAGCTTACTTAGATTGAATGAGCACATGATAGATCTTGAGCACAGAACACCAATCCACTTCTTTAAGAGATGGAATAGTCACTGTACTCTTGACTTTAAGCTGCTTAAAGTGTGAAATAAATATCAGCTTTTGGTTAATGAGAAGTCTTAAGAACTTTGTTTCAGCCACCAAAGAAATTGGTAAGCTTCTCAAATGGAACTGGGGATCAGGGCGCACACACACCAATGATGGCAAAAATGCATGCAGATGGTTTCAATCTGTATGTGTTTGAACATGTGAAACTGTTTCTAGTAGTCCACTCAAGCAGATGAGTGAGGGCAGTTGAGAGCTGAATACTTAACATGCTTCATATTTAATGACCAACAGGAAATTTCAAAGTCACTGAAACAGAAGCTGTTTGAAACTGTAGGAGGAAGTTGCTTAGTGATGGCACTGATCATAATCTAAAAAATGTGACACTTAAGACATAGCCCTAGGGCACTCCAAGTTCCTATGTGAAGGATCACGACAGTGTTCATCCCACACAGACTTGGAATGATCACTCAGCTAAAAATTATGAATAAAAAATGGGTAAATGGCCATGCAACTCGTACAAATAGAGGTCCTGTAAAATATAAAAACATCATTGTGGTGCCATAAACCTTCTCAAGACTGAAAAAGATATAAACAAGATGCTTTCCTTTTGATATATTCCAGAGCAATTGATATGGCATATAACTCGGCAGTCAACACAGAATCCATAGAGGGCATCCTATGAGCAATTACAGAGCCACAGCAAACCATGGCTGAACTCACAGAATCAAAATTTTGAACCATCTGTAAAAAGAGGAATATAATGATAGCTCAAAATGTGTTCATTGAAGAAAAGTAATACTTTTCCGTACTATAGATTTATGGATTGCACTGAATATATTATTTGAAAAAATAAAGATCTAGGTTTATTGTAAAAATTACATCATCACTGGTACAAGTTGATTCAGGTGATCCAAGGTGAATCACTGTTTGCAGAAATCACACTGGGGGGTTGGGGAGGAGGTTTTTAGTCAAGGAACCAAAGATGAGCATTAATCATTATCTCCAAAACTTTACAGAGACAACTTATCAAAGCAATAAGAATCTTGGGATCCTTTCCAGGATTAGAAAAAAAAAGCAGAGATGGAAAAATAATCTGATATACATCCGGAGCAAGGAGATTTTACTGGAGGACAATTATATTATGAAAAATACATGTTTGCTTGGTTAAGTAAAAATGTCAAACTTTATATATTAGATTTTATATAATAGAAGTTTAATATTTTGCATGGATTGCACTAAATATATATATTTTTAAATAAAGTTCTAGAGTTACTGTATTATTACATCATCACCGGTACAATTTGATTCAGGTGGTCCAAGATGAATCACTGTTTGCAGATATCATACTGGGTGTTGGAGAAGAGAGTTTATATTCAAGGAAGCAAAAATAAGC